CCGCTCATATTCATTGATCATTCTTTCATTTTCCATCAACTCATTTACAACCTATTAGCAGGAAAACTAGAGTAGCTGCAGATGCCATACAAAATGAAGAACACGCACACAATAACGGGAGCAGCAGGAACTCACCTTTCCAATTCGCTTCCCCTGAATAGTTTCTTGCTTCATTTTATTGAAATAATGATAGTATGTGACAACATAGGTTATGATGGATTTTTCATCCGGAATGTCCACGTTCACATCTGCAAAAGTTGCAGTGATTTTAGCAACAGCGAACAAAGTAGGCTGTGCAAATTCAGAAACACAGTGAAAATGCCTAACCTTCCGGGTCCAAAAATTTGACGAGTCCAAGCTGCTGCTCAGCAGTGTCGAATGCATTGCCAAGATTGTAGAGAGCATTGGATTTTTGCAGCTTTTCGTATTCAATGAGATCAGGACGATGCTTATGGATGAGAGCATTGAAGGCCAAGCCATCACGCCACGAAGTGGTGAAATTACGAACATTCACATTCGGATATCCAGCTGTTTTCATCTGGCACCACAGCAGCAGGGCCTCCTTTGCACTACGGGTCTCCTGATTATCTGCATCCTCGAATGTAATATCTTGGATCTGAAATAATACAGAGTCTGCTTTGGCTACCTTAGATCAGTTTGCATTATTCTGAAGCCGTGCCTGTTTGGGTAATGCGATTTTCCCCGAACTGACAATTTTCTCGTTAAAAGCTTTACGTACCCGTGCTCGGAGCTCAAACGTATCTGAAAGTTGGCATCATGCTCCCGAGAGAGTGCTTGATTAGGGGACCTACTGGCAAAATTTCAGCATCAAAGCTTATAACTGGTTGCTGAATTGAAATGCCCCGGGCATACATGCCTAGCTAGGCATAAATGCCCAATACGCGCATACCATGTATATATATATGTACATATACATATATACATATGTATATATATGTACATGTATACATATACGCATATATACGTACATACATGTATATATACGTACATACATGCATGCACATACAGACACACCAAGGGTTGTCACAATATGCGTTTCTGCATTTGCTTAGGCATGTAAAAAACAAATGAAAACCGAAGCAGACCTGGAATCGTAAAATGATTGTCCAGATGAGGCCCAGTGTCAGTCGTGGGTTGCCATCCACAACGTCATGTGACCCAAGATTTTCCAAGTGAACGTGCTGGTCTCGCAGGAACTGCAACCCTTTGTCCACATTTTCGAGACAATGTATACGCATTTTACCACGTGTCGGTTTTGGCTAAAATTATTAAAATTTGTCAAAAATTACGTCATTAGATTTAAGGTTAAAAGGAAAATGTATGAATGTTGTTAGAAAATATAAGAAAGAGTGATAGGAAAGATAAAAAAGGGAAGGATGTGAAAAAGAAGTATTAGATTATACAAGAAATGTTTCGGTCCATTAAGTCGTATACATTTCTTACCTTTACCACAATTGGACCTAGTCAGTACGACGATTGTGGCAAAAAGTTTTAAAAAAGTGCGATGGCTCTAAAATCAAATAAATTTTCCCCTGATTAACTAACTGATGTACATCTTTTTTCTGTGCTTTCCAGGCAAGAGCCTGAAAAGCGCTGCTTCTCGCCCCATCAATTACTTCTCAATCTTAAATGAGAATGCTGCGAGACACTTCCAATTTCCATTGCGAATCAAGTAACATCGGAATCTCGCTCAGGGCCACGGTCCAAATGTTTTTGTAAATTGAGATGGAGAAGAAGCAAAAGTTGACTCCATGCAGACAACTGCCTGCTGGAGCTTCAACTTGGTAACATGCGCAATTACCATTGTACAGATGAGTGAAACGAGGAAGAAAACCAGACCGAATAGCTATTTCTGTCGATCCCAAAACAACACAGTGCTCAATTTGTGAAAAGAAGGCTGCACTGGGCATGCATAAAGTCTCCACTACCAAACTGGGCCTTTCGAATATTAGCAAGAACAGAAGAGAGAATGCTCCCCTCTTTCCTCACCAAACACGGTTGCAACGACCTGGATCTAGGCGGTACAGAACCAAATATAGGTAGCATACAATCGCCGTTTAAACGCCTAGACCCACCATCAAAAAATCCTTAGCTTTTGCCGTTTTTTTCTTTTCGTCAACACCGATTATGTAAAATGAGTACCGGAACGCTCGAAATGAGTGTTTCTAGCTCCACAACTGTGCAAAGCAATCGTGCAAAAAGAAGCAGCCATGAAGATTTAGCTTCGTTTTCTCTCTTGCACATCACAATTGCAGAAGTGCGAGCAAAGCCATTTTTTGAGGTAAATAAAACTTCACAGTGGCGGCTGATCGAGACGCATGCGCCCGCACTCACAACAACCAAAAGGGTTAATCAGGCAAGGCTGGTGCGAGAACTTTTGACCACTCAGCACAGTGACGAGAGACGGAGCAAGGCAGTGAGCCTGGGAGAGAAGGAGCAGTGAAAGGGCACTTGCCAGTCGCTCGCCAGAAAGCACTTCCAGAAGTCGGATGAGCATCTTGCCGTCGCGCATGTCCATGTATAAATCATGTATTTTGCAGTTCACTCGCACCAGATGTGAATTGACCCACTTCGTGAATGTCTTCTTCTGCACATTCTCGCGCTCATCTGCAACAAGCCACGTCAGCCCGCGTCAAGACAGTGCGAGAAGTGATGGTGGCCAGTGAGCAACAACTAACCAGCCAAAGCTTTGATACGGGAACGTTCGAAGAGTCGAGCGGACGAATTCTCATCGTACTCCTCGTAGTCCTCGATTCGACCACTGTAGTCGTGGCCCCGCACCGCTATATCGGTAGTCATCGCCTGCAAAAAAGCAACCGTACCGGCCAGACGCCCGAAGCGAGCACAGCCGGCTGGTCGAGCACGCACGAACACGTCGCAGCACCAAACAACCACTACACACGCAGCAAGCGCACCAGGCAGCCGACGACGAAGCGACAAAAGAGAGGCCCGGCCGAACGGACTCGCTACTGCTACTGCTCCTGTCCCCCACTGGCCTGCCTTCCTGTGCCGGGCAGCCGTGCGTTTCACGGGAGCTGCACGGCGAGCCACCGGCCAACTGTGCATGGCAACAGGCCCTTGGCATATGCGTCACAGACGCGGCGCTGACGTCTGGCGGAGCAAACGAGCGTCGCGCAGAACCAGACAGACGGCTGCACAGACCGCACAGCGCAGGAATGCCGTGCATGCGGCTCGGAGCTGCCGTTGCTGCAGAACCAGCTTTCCACCCCCGCCGTCCCCGTTTCGCTGCCCCCCACCCACACTCCATGCCTTCAAGAACAACTTGGACCCCGCACGACAGGACGCTGCCCCTCCGCTCTCTCTGGAAGCAGGCCAGCCTCGGAGATGCTGTCCCTCCTCTCCCCCGCCCCTCTCCCTTCCCCCCAGTGCTCCTTCTGCGAAACGCACACGCACACACCGGCGATGCTGGTAAGCTCTTAATACTTCGGGTATTTCGGGGTCCCTGCATCCCATGGAAAAAGTGAAATATAAAAGTTGTTTTAACAAACATTATAATACAAGGCTCAAAATGAGGTAACACAACAAGCGTCCAGCAAGTTTTGAATTGGACAAAAGAAGGATTATGCACCTAACCAATCATAACATTTCATTTGGAATAAAAAGGAAAATTCTTCAGCATTATCGGTGATGAACAACTGCGCCTTTTAACGCGTTTTTACATTCCCATAGCATGCAAAAACGCACGTTTTTACAATTTTTACATTTCCATAGCTCCATCTGGGAAATCGTATACCTAAATCGATTCGCAATTGCGCCACGCCTTAGAGAATGTCAAAGATAATTTGTAGGGAAGCGGCGATTTCGCTTGCCAGATAAGTTGCGAAGCTGAAACTTTGCAGGGTTTTTCTGTTTACATGTGGTCTAAATCCAGTTTGGAGGCTCAATTCCCTGCATACGAACCTAACAAAAACTCAGTTTTATTACAAGCTCAAAAACAAGTGCATTTTGCAGATTTCGTAATTCTCTTCCGACATCCTGTGCATTGTCAAATTCGCATTTTTTGCTGAACTACTGCCCATCAGAAACTATTCATTTCTACATGTAAACTGATTATCATGCGCGGTGGAGGTTTACGTACCCCATGATGCAACACTACTATCTTAGCTGAAGCACATTTTCCCCTTTACATGCAAAAAATATGAAAGCTCAAAAACAAGTGCATTTTGCAGATTTCGTAATTCTCTAAAATATAGTTAAAATGAGTTCACGTGTTAAACAGTAAAGCAAAAACCATACATGCTGTTAACAATCTGAGACTGTTGCAAGTTTAGAGCAAAAAAGCATGACCGCACTGGCAAGCCTGGTGCGTCGCAGCTTGGGTTTTTATTTTCAAATAACACGTTTTTAGCCAAAACCAAGATGCAATTCCAGAACATGCTGGAAGGAAAACCGCTACAACCGCCATTCCTTCCCCTTTGTTCAGAAGCCAACACTTGTGATCGGCTGTGATTAAAAAACGGCCCTGTATTTGTGCAACATTTAAATAGGTTGTGTACCACTAAAATATTTTTGAGTGGAACAATCTGAATGATACGAAACCGCGATATTTCGAGGATATCCCGAAAGACTCAGCATACAGCTCTCAAACTTCATCTCACACATCAGCAGTGAAGGATCGCGACAGAACAAGCTGCCGCTGCATGAATATGAGTGCATTGCAGCAGCAGCAGCAGCGTACCAAAGCCAGTGCTTTACACAGCTCCAGCAGTGCAGCAGCCGAACGCTGGACAACGAGCTATCGACCGATTAGCAACTGCTGCGAACGGCTCCGAGACCGAGTGACTGGACTAACGAAACTGGCCGCATGGCTGACTCGGCAGAGTACCCCAGCAAACGGACTGCCGCTGATTTCAAAAATACGTGCGATCATACCGTAATCACCACCCCTCCCTCTCTCAAAAATGCACGAATTTGTTATTTTTTTTAAATGTAACCGCACGCCGCATTTCTGTCCGGAACAAAGCGGAGCGGAACGGAAGGGGGACAAAACAGAAAGTTGGAAAATCAGAAATCTCTTTATACTTCTTCAAATTCAGATTTGGCTGTGAGGATGCTCGTAAGCCGATGTTTCATGCACGGACGAGAAAAAATTTTTTTTACGGGAATTTCGCACGTTTTTGATGCTAACACAACATTTCAGACTATGAAGCAGGGAGCACTCTTAGCTGCGAACGTCCGCTACGCAGCAAGTGCGCGACCGCACCGGCTACCGTGGAATACCAGTCGCTACTCATCAAAGAAGCAACCCAGGCTGCGACTGCGCGTTCCTGCATCATGATTCCATTTGGACGGATAGCCTGTACCCCACTGGGGTGTGACTGCACTGCTGCAGGAGATGCGCCCCTGTACACAAAGCCCACGTCTAGGCGTAAGCTGCACGTCTTTGCTCATTAACCCGCGCACTAACAGCAAAGATCATCAGAGAAACACCGCTCCATGCTCAGTCTGATCATCAAATTAACTGAATCCCCAAAGTGTCCCCCAAACTAAACATTCACTTGCGTACACGCGAAACCTAGGTGTGCTCTAAAGCTGAATTTGCAATACTTAGATTGCACACTGGCACAGAACATCCTCGTAAACTTCCAGCCCCCCAGCACGACTGGTTGGTGAAGTCGCTTTTCGTTACATATAATTTTAGACGTATTCGAACACGCGCGACACAGGCGTACGCCAAAGCTTAATTTACGACTGCATGCCCATGTATGAAAAACAAATATTTCCGTAAAGCTCAAACTCTAAACAACTTAGCCCTCGATTTGGCATTTGGCCAAACATGCCTTAATTTTAATATTGCTATGCCCGCAAGGGTGACGTTGAGGTGCATGTATGGAAAGAACAAAATTGTTAAAGCTGAATTTGAAATCTTTAGCTCATATAAGGACACGGAAAACTCCCGTGAAGTCAGGCTCTGGAAGTTGTTTTCCCGCCAAAAATCTTACGTTCTTGCCTCGGCTTTCGCACGTAAGACTCAAGCGTACGTGAGTGATGATATTAAAGACGTAGAGATGCACGTGAAGTAAGAATATGCCTCAAAAGTTTTAGCATATTAGCTTAGTTGAAACTGGGTGACAGAATGTGAACAAAAACACACACACATGGGCAACCTCTTGCCAATATGCACTCGTGCATTTGCACAAATGTGCAGAAACGCATAAAATATTGCTGAAAGAGTGTGATGAACACAGTAGAAATTATTCAAATTCACTCGTGCGTCAAGTTTTCATGCAAATTTCTTGGCACAATAAATGAATTGAAGGGTTGTTTCTGAAGAACTGGGTCAGCAGGGACAGCTAGCAGCAGTGTTAGTGAATTAGATTTCATAGGAGTTTCGAAAATACGCATAAATGGACGGAGCTTCTGCCGCTAGACGAAATCCTGGTTTCGGTCGCTTTATCTGAATCACAGCTGCAGGTAGCAACGAAGTAGGAGAAAAATCATTTCATAAAATGTGCTTTTGAAAATGTGGTCCTTATTCATCGAGCGGTACAGACGCGTCACGTCACCTTTTAAGAATGATAAGTAAAAAAGGAGGTGAGATTTGCTAAACTGGAAAACCGTCGAAAGGGGAGGAGTATACAGGTGTACGATAAAGGCAGATGGAGGCCCCCAATATTGCTGCTCCGGAACACTGGCCTGCTCGGATTCAGAGCACTGGCTCCGCTGCACGTGCGTCAGCTCCTCGAGCTCCCCTCTCCTGCTCCTCATCTCATCACAACAGCACAGTAGCACAAAAAAGAACGGCATCGCCACCGGCAAATGCGACGAGGGGAGATGTGAAGTGTGCCCTGCGGCTGGCTCCGCAGCGACGTCCGTACTGGCATCCGATACGCACAGCACACTGCTCCCGAGCTGACCAGAAGCGGCAGCTGCCAGAACAGAAGCCGACGTTGACAATGCGGAGAAGATGGAAGAAGAAGCAGACGGATCGATTCAAATTCGCAGAGTGGGAGACCCCTGCGCATCGGCAAGCTGCGGCTGCTGCCGCTGCTCGCCACCACATCCACCGGTTCTTGCATCAAGAGGGGGATGATGATGATGAAAATGGTCCCGGCATCCTGCTTGACCACTAAATCGGGCCGAGGGACGAGTAGTCGTGCTGTCCGATTGTTTACAGTGCAGTGGTTTTGCGTGCACAGATGCTTGGCTTGAACTGCACGGCCAGCGCTGGTGACGTTGATATTACAGGCTGTTCGTATTGTCCACGCTTAGCAGCCGGACTTACAGTCTCTTCTCGACATGCTTGTACCTCCCAACACCTCGATACTGCTTGGTCAGTTGCTAATCCCACACCACTATGAAATGGGCGCACCCGAATGTTGTGTGACACATATTTCTATGTATATATATATATCGACACAAAATGTGGAATATCACACTCGCATTAGAAAACAGGCTGGCAGAGGCACAAGGATCAGTGGGAAACCGATGTTATGAGTCAACACAAAATATTAAAGTGGTAGCAAACTGCAACACGACCACCGATGAGCTGCCGTCACTGTCTGGTCTAAAAGACATGATAAAGTGATGGTGTGCTAGAAAGATCAGTAGGGCTGGTCGTGTGGCAAGGATGG